AATAAACTCTATTACTCACAATAGACTATTTCACTGTCAATACCCCTTTAATTCGTACATCCGCGTGTTATCACGTAAACGAAAATTTCAGTTTCATCACTTTCTTGCCCAATCGCGGTTACACCTACAGACAAAACGATAAAACTTGGGGACAGCTATTATCTCTTTATTTATACTCTGATCTATGTAGTACAGTAGTCGAGTCCTAGATTTTCAAGTTGCTTTCCTATTTCCTTGTAGTGTGAGATTTCCACGTCCTTGCTACCACGGTGTTGGGATCCGCCATTTTCTTTTTCAATAATTGTTAACTGACAACGCTTAGCGGAACATTGTATCGATATGCAAAGGTCATTTACATCACCATACATACAATTATGTCATATTCCCTTTAGTAATAACACATTTCGCCGTTGTATAAATGTAAACAATGTTTCGTAGTTAGCTTTTCGTGTCCGAATATCTGGTATGTCTTTGACCTTGTGCTAATATCAATGAGCAAAGTGTTAATTTTAAATACAAATTTTTAATTTTTTAATTTAAACAACCGAGGAATACGGTTAATTCATATCAAAATACAAATGAGGTGTCATTTACGGGATTTGATAATATTAAAAATAAAATAAGTCATGCATGAACTCATTGATGCGAGCAACACTTCCTTTGAGCGGTAATTCGACACAAAAGGGTAAATAAAAATGCAGTAAATACTTTTTGACTTATACTATCACAATTATCCTTACATCAGATCGTAAATCGTAATATTATAGGCTATTGCGCTTCATTTGCAAGAACATTATTCATATGGACCGTTCTGTAAATTGATGAAAACAGAACTGTCAAAATCTAAGCTATCATGACTGCCGTTGTCAAGTGTTGGTAAATGTTAGCAAAAAAGCTTGTTTCTAAATTTTGGATAGATTATTATTCATTTATGTTAGAATAATAATCATTTTGAGGGTCTGATATAGAATTTGTTACCTAGATATAATTCATTTCTATGGAGTACCATTTGAAACACATCATATTTTCCAATCAATCATTCAGCTGGACCTTTCCACATTCAATAGTGGACTATAAGTGTACAATCTAAGATTAAACAAGTGTTGAGTGTGAATAAATATTGAATAAATTAAATTTAAAACAAATTATTTTACTGTAAAACTTAGTAAAAATGTTCATTGTTTAATTGTAAGTGCATCGTTATGCTCCCTGGCACAAAGTTTCAGTTGGTGAATTAAGAAGTAATACAAATGATAACAATGTGTATTCATTATAAAAAAAATTGCTGAAAACCAAAAGCAGTTTCAAGGAAATTGTGATGTAGTATTTACAATTTTCCACACAGACCCGAAACATTTAATCCAAATGATGTTTATGATGGTACTCCATACAAAAAGTCTGAACGTTGTCCCTTGAAAAAAATGGAGGATATTTCAAAAAAAAGTTTAATTATATGGACGTGGTGTGCTAAAGTCTTGATGGTTATAGTATATATATTCAGGTATCTCTGTGAGACTTTGTGATTTCCCATGTTGAGTTGTTTACCCTGTAGCTGTGCAGTGCTGAATGGTATATTTGCTTCATATTTTCCAAAGTTACAAATTCCAAAGTCATTATTTGTTATTTTCATCCATTTTTTATTGTTCAGCATCATCTAAAGCACGTTTAGACATCAAAATAAAGGCACTAAAGTTGTTGTGAATTATTTTTTGAGCCCCCCCCCCCCCCCATTTCAGGTGTTGTGACAATTTGTGTCACTTTACCTTGCCCTTAAACCCCATTCTATTCATTCATTCATAAGAATTTACTAGCGTTACACTAAACGTTCACGAACGTCGACCTATTTTTTTTTAAAAAAATCATAAAATTATAATCTAACGATTACAGATCATTTGTAAATATGATATCATAATACAAATAGTAAACTGACAAGTTGTATATCATTTTGATAGTATCCATCCTGTTTGTAATAAACACGAGATAAATTCACAGCTGTAATAAATTAAACAACAATACCATATGTATTGTTACTTGAAATTAACAATTATTATAATAAGTAATAATGACATTTAACTATTGATTTATCTGTTTACGTATAGCAAGTTACAATTGGTTCTATGCCAATTCCATCCCGAGCGTCACATGACTGAGATTATCTAGCGCCAATGGTGGTGAAATCTACACAGCACGTGGAAGGCTATCAGATGAGTGACAGTTTCATTTCATGTGTATAATAAATACCCCGTGAGTTTTAAGTCTAATGGAATACTAGATACAGCTAGAGATCTGGGTAAATGAATTTTCTTTTATTTTTTAGTAATATATTTGATGTAATTGCGTTTAAGGTTTACAGAGCTATTGACTGAACATCGATTTTATTTTATTAACATGTACATGTATACTAATAACTTTGTAAAATAGAAATGGCGTTTTTGAACGAAAAATTAACTGATAATTTTATTATCGTCTGCATTTTGGATAGGGTTAAAAGTAAAAGTACCGTTGAGGTTATTGGGGGAATCGTTGGTATCGTCGATCATTCCTTTACGACACTCGCTTTCCAGGTTTCTTATTTGAATTATCATGCCGTCACCAAGGTACTGCTGGATAGACTGACTTACATGGGATACCGTATCACATTCTTGGAAATGTGCCGAATCTGTCCGTTCAATTTGTTTATATTTTATATGTATGTAAGGGTCTACTATATTCCATTTTGGACATAAACTTGGTTGTCGTAATATTAAAGCAGTTATAACTACTGTTACTATATTACACGTTTTAAATTAAAACATGACTTCAATTGAAATAAAATAGTCGACTGATGTGTAGCAAACTGTAAATTAGATATAGACTTTTATTCTCCATCTATATTGTCCTTTTAATAGTGAGAAATCGATAATCACTAAAGAATTGCGTGCCAGTTCATTCGAATTAGTAATAACAAGTTTACGGTTAATAACATTCCATTCAGTTCGCCTATTTGGTCCATAAATTTTTGTTAAAATGACTTGTAAACGTGTGGAAATATGTAATAACAATTGAGGATTGATTCGATAACAATTGCCTTAAAAACATTAATTTATATTTATAAATTTTAAGTTTCATTACATATTTAAGGGCCCACTGCGACAGAAAGCCAATGGACATTTTTTCTTATTATAATTTAACCATGTAAGATTTTTAGATTAGTCAGTTGTCGACAGCCGATTATAAATGAAAGAAAGATGCTTTTAAGTTAGACAAAGTGTCTTAATTCTATATTTGCCGTTTATTTTGGAAAGCTAAAGAACATTTGAAAGAAAACAGTGGCCATTAATGTTATTTTGTACAAACATTATGGTATACAACCATGTTTCAAATACAGCCTTTATTGTGTGTACTGTATTGTTTATTCTGTCTGTGATTTGGTGAGCAGTATTTTAGTAGAATGACACTAGAGTACCCACAAAAACCCCACAAGACTAGGCAGCCGATTTACTATTATATTGCTTACTCACCTGCAGTTTGAGTTCATAGTTGAATAGACATAAGGGAAGTTAACATGTTTAATTGTTCAATTTGTATTATCAATTTGTTTAGTAGCAGATATTCAGTATTACAGGTTTCGAATTTGTCCATTGTAAGATTTTGTGACGTGGCATTCTAAATCACGTAACATTCTACATAATCAATTCATTTTCTCATTTGCTAAATGTGAAGGGAAGGTGGAGAGAGAGAGAAAGAGAAATGGGGTTTAACGTCCACTCGACACATACTAGGTCATTTCAGAACTAACACATGGTTTAATTTTATTTCAATAATTCGCTTGCGCGTAGCGGTCTTTAGCAGTGCGAGGAAACCGAAGGACCCGGAGAAAACCCACGAGATTGGACAGGCGACCCTACTCCTTGTCACATACAACTGGGGATTCGAAACCACGCCAGTTGACTCAATGACAGGCCTTATGATACAGCACGCACGTGCTAACCATTCGGCCATCCAACCCCCCGAAGGGAAGGTGGGCGCGATGGTTGTGTGATTAAGCCCTCGACAACCAAAATGTTCATGGCTTGGGCCGAAAACAACCATCAGCCTTTTTTCAAGGACGGTTCTCACATGCTGGAATTGGCGTCTGTCTAACTAATAACGAAAGTTTTTCTTGTCACTCGGATGGGACCAAAACTGGCGCCCGGTCTACAGACTGATCATGCACGTAAAAGAAATTCACCTCCTCAGATTGCACATGTGACCATTGATATGAAATTACCATATGAAGTTTCAAAATGAACACAGTATTATGCCTAACACTTTTCCATTCTTTTCAGTGCGACCACCCAAATTGTATCGCTATCACTGGTCTGTTATGTTGCGTATTAAATCTGTATTGCCCATGAATATAATATTGCCAATGCACAGAGCAAATGCTGCCCATATTTTCAATCTGCTTATACATGTATCTGGTAATAATATTGTATTATTCCCTTTGAAATTGTTCAATTAATCACGCAGAAAGATAATACAGTTTGGGAATTGCTATCAAGTTATTTCCTTTTATGTATATAGTTTTACGCTTTATTTATATTGATCAAATGGTTTTCAATTTTATTCATATGAAATTGTTTATACCGAGAGATCTTGATTACAAATAAAAAGGGCGGGCATGTTCTCTGGGCAATTGATGAATTGTATTTGACTCTTTCAATTAGACGAAAAGGATTCAACGGCTATTTATCATTTTTTATTGTGTATTATATATGAGTATATGATTTATAAACACAGTTTGTTATTGGGTATTACATATAATATAAGGACGATTTATAACAATAATATGTTATATTGCGTATGATTTATAGCCTTAATCTGTATTGTGTTGCAATTTTACCACAATACTGGAGCTAAAATTTAGTTTGATTTGTATATCGACAAATATTCAATTGTTTCTACATAATGCATTGATGGGCGGAATCTATTATCACAACCAACCACATTTTAACCTTTCTTGACTCTTTATCTTACAGATTACAAGACCCAAAATGAACGACAGAGTTTGAAACCCACCCAGTGTTGAAATTAGGAGCATCTTCCAATATGGACGTTCACGTGTGGCTTGTGTGGTTATTTTCTGTGGTGTATTTGTGGGATTTTTGTTATTCACAGAGGCCGCTTCCGGTGACTTTTCATGTTTTGTTTCCTAAACACCAATTCTGGAGTTCAAATATAAATAGAACTCTGAAGGCCACTTTATTTAGTCCGTCCGCAGCCAGGAAACGTTTTGGAGAATATAGAAATGTGTACAGAGTTTTCAGGCCTGACATCAAGTTAACGTGGTTAGAAAGAGATTCGCCTAATGAAATATTAGAGGCTTTTTGTGACCAAAGTACCCCTTCCAATGCTATAACAGTTTTCCATGTAAATAATCCGTATGTGTTCCCACAGAGAGCTGCTGCTAACAGATACATTAGACAATTAGTTCAAGTTTTAGGATTACCCATGATTTCATGGGATACAGATTTTGCCGGTGCTTTGGAGGTATGTATCATATTGAATTATTATTGATTGTCAAGGAAAAGAATCCAAATGAAATGGGGTTTAACGTCATACCAGTATGCTGTAGCGGAAGTTCTGGTTATTTAGCCGACCTTACACATTTGAATAGTATACAATACAGTGTAGTTCGAAAGAGATAAATAAAACTCGATACAGTATACATCTTATTAAAACTGCTTGGCATACGAAATATGCTATATATATGTGTAGCATTTCCATACCAATACTACTAATTCAAAACATCTATACAGCTTATTAACTGAAATATTCTTATAATAAATATGTGGTTGAGAACTTACATAAATCAAATATTAATGAAACGCCAAGCCAAAGCAAATACTGATTTTGTATATAAAATACACCTGGCCGCAGTAAAAACGTGTTTAGAAATAGAATGCGGGATGTACATCATACATTCTGGTTCCTGGTTTGGCTCACTAGTTTGTCTAACTGCATCTGATTTCTGGACACTGCATTTTATTTAGCCGACCCCGCGCACTACCGGCACCCGCACTACTATTTAGATTTCATGCTGAAATAATCTAATCATTGATTCTGCTAGCATATACACTTTATTGAGGTCTAAAATAGTCCAGTCTTCAACCCACGACGGAGATTTATGCCAGTGATTCTGGCTGTAAGCTCATATTGTCAACAATAAGCCATGATGTGACAGTTGCCTAAGCGAGAGTTGTCATTTGTGACAATATTCAGGACAATTGCTTAATCAGCTCAGTGTCTGATCAAATCTAATTTTATTCTACAGGTATTTGTATTAAACTCTAAAATGTCAATATGATATATCGCCCCCGGAAGACTTTTAAATTCATTTCCCGAATATAAGCCAATCAGATTTCCTAATCAATATTATTAACATTTAAACGTATCACATGACAGAAAACTGACTAAAATTAGGGACCAAGAAAGGCTAGAAATTATTATTTATTTATTTTTTAATTAAAAAGGTTATGACAACATGAAGAGGTTAAATAACCGTTTGACTTTGATGTAAGCAGATAAAAACTCATATATCCTCTGGGTATTAAGATACTTAAGACAAAATAATCTCACTAAATGTCATAAACATTGCATTGAGATTACTTGATAACAAAGACTAGAGAATGGCAAACCCCCAGATCCCTCTTGGACACAGCTATAGTTTAGAACATTGTCTTCCTGGTTAATTAGGTTTAAACTATGATTATATCGTGTTCTCTATGGTTGAAAAGCGAATTAATTCCTTGATCATTCCTGCTTTTCTGGCATGAATTATTTAATTAAAAGTATTAAATTTATTATCTTTTACTGGGGTCAAATACAAACACCAACTGGGCTAATGAAGACGGCGGTAATAATTAGAAGTATTAAACTTGTTATATCTTTCAGACACCACCGACTAGTTTTAACCCTTGACGTTGACGCGGTCTCGGGTCGATTTGTCCGTGACTTAAGACACAATGATTAACTTAATGATATTGGTAGGCAGGTGAAAGAGATTTAATAGTCGACATGTTAGGTCTACTGCCTGGAGCATAGTAAGAATAACCTCTAATACATTTCGATTTATTTGATTTAAATCTTTAAATAACAGTCGGGGCATCTAAACTGCTAGTACCGGACACCTAGAAATTTGAACTAGTAAGTCTGCCTTGAGAACAACAGATATCAGAAAATGTTGAAAATTTCGGTCACGGCAGTCCGATGACCCGTATTTAGTGTTTAGGTTAACCAATAAACTTTCTTGAGATGAGGGGTGGGTACCGGTATATTTTCTTTTTAAATTTTCATAATAGCTTGCCTCTGTTTGTATAATATTCACATTACTTTCATCAATCAGATCAAATGGGGACAATGGTTACATAGAATGTGCAATGAGAATTAGAACACCATAATTATGTATATTAATATATCAATTTATAAAACTGCAGGAAACCCAGTCTTAAACAATTAACATGTCTGAAAATAGGTCAGTCCTTTGAAAAGTGCTAATCTTTTGACGTAATTATATTAATTAAGTCTTTAACTGTGGTTTGTACAAAAAAAATTAAAAATATACTTTGATGTTGTATTTATACGATATTATGCGAATCGTAAAGATTTTTTTCATATCATAATACCTCATTACAAATAATTTCTAGTTAATTACTACTATACTATATAACATGGAATATATTTAAATATGAAAGTAAGATTACTTAACTGCAAGACATGTCTTATTGAGAATGGTTTATAAAATTTGCACTAAAAACGCTTGAATTTGTAAAATGGTATTTAAATAGCATTACGTGTTATATATATTAAAACCCACAAAGATTTTCCCAGAACGTCATAACCTGATTACCCTTTGCGGTATCTAGTCCATTTTCCTTAAACATACATTATGCGAGAGCTAAATCTGCCAATTACAAGTCTTTCTTTAGGCCTGGAATGTTATCTAAATTATTAATTAGACATTAATTAACTTATCCAGACCATAATCAACTCTCGGTGGCATCACTAGCCTGCGATATTTACTGGATTATGATCCCATTTTCTGCTCGACTTCCATTCATAATTTAATCATGAAATGGATGATCGAGACTATGTTTTTTATGGTACAGACTTAAGTAATGATGATCGAGGCTAGGCCGAAATTTCAATCGCTTAATTATCGGTTCATAGTGGATCAATTTGACTGAAATTTTCAGCGAATTAACTTTACATTATCTAGTTTTTAAATATTATAGTGATAACTGCCAGCTCTTAATCTTATCTCCCATAATGTATCTTTAAGTAAATTTAACCCCGAAAAGGCTGAAAAAATGTTCGTTAGTTAGTACTTTAGACGACTGAAAATGTAGGTTAAATAATATCGGGGATTCAACGTTCGCGGATAGCATTTAGTTATAATGTAGACTTTGACGGGCGATTACCAGAAATCAGTTATAGTGTGAACTTTAGATGGCTATACTTACTATAGGATTGACCAATGTATGAATCAATGTGAATGACCCGAAAGTCTATACTTGCTACATTAGTATGGACCTTTAATACACTTTAGTTATAAAGACCGCGACAGTACATGTTCCAATGAAATGATCGGGTTCTATCCTGGGCCCTTATTCACGAAAACTTAAACTAAGTTACAACCGAAATTTTAAGAAATACTGCAACTTCATTGGATATATGCAAATTGATTTTACTGGTCAGCCAATCGAATTAAAATGATTTCCTTAAATCTATGCAGCGTTGCAAACTATGAGAGAGAGAGAGAGAGATGGGGTTTAACGTTCACTCGACACAAACTAAGTCATTTCGGGACTAACATATGGTTTAATTTTATTTCAATAATTCGCTTGCGCGTAGGCGTCTTGCAAACAATGAAATAAAGTATAAATGTAGCCGGAGTATGGAAGACATGAGTGCACATCCATCTGAAATAAAAGTTCTCGGTTAATAGATTATGCAATTTATTAATGGAAAGTTTAATAGGGCTTTTATTCTAACCAGTTTCTACGTAATCCAAATTAATAATGATTAAATCTGGAATTAATAATGGAATCTGTCTATTGGCCTTTGGGGACGAATGTCTGTGATGTCACTAGTATTAAATACCAATATTTATGTATGTGTTTCAATCATTTGCCCCAGTAACTATGTTACAAGATTGATTACAAAATGTGAAACTAAATTGCATTATTTTGACCTTTAATCCTCATAATTTGTGAGGAAACTTGTTTTACCTAACCGATATTATGTTTCTGGCTATGCGTCCGCCCACTTTTAAGGTTTCAGAGATTAGACCATTAAAGTCCCATTTCATATTAAATTTCATCGATTTTCATCAGCACATGTTTTCAAATTCCAAAGAATAGACGGGGTATTACCATTGACTTCCTTTGGTCATTATTGTATTTTTAGAAAATATTAACTGATTGTACTAAATTAAATTTAAAGTGGTTCTTTAACACTTCAAATGTTTTTACATTTTGTTGTACGGATTGTTTTATCTGTCAAATTATGTACAATCGTGTAATTTGCCATGCAAAATCTAAATATGGTATTTTATTTTATGTTTTAGCCTCAACATGATTCCCGTATTTTACAAATAGCACCGTCGTTATACCATCAAAGCCATGTGATGTTAGGTTTACTTAAGCGATATAACTGGACAGATTTCTCAATAATTACAACCACAGATCCGGGTTACGAGGAGTTCGTCAATGCTATCCGGGCACAAGTGAAAGAGACAGAAAATATTCCCCGTTTTGCTCCTTCTGGTGTACCTAACTTCAGGTAAGTACTATGAATAGTGCAGATTGTTGATAACGAAAGCCGGCCGATTATGGACCGAGAATAAAACACGTGGATAGTTTAAACCTGCAGAGTTGACAACGAAAGTGTTGCTCGTTAACGTAACCGGATGTAAATGCGCGTATACAATCCTAGACAAATGAAATTTGGAAACTATACAAAATACAGTATATTATAGTCGCAAACAAACTAACATATTGTATTTACGATCATTTATTGTAAAGAGTTCTCCTTCAATCCGTCAAATAGGTTTGATTATTTTTGTATCTATATACATTCATTAACACTTTTAAGTGTACTTGCGATCGGATGGGATAATGAAAGACACATCGTGAAGAAACTGAAAGTTGGCCACATTTGACTAAATGAAACTTCTAAAGAGTTTTTTTTTGTAATTTCGACCAGCTGATCTATATTGGAATTCCGATCTATTTTTCATAAGAGACAAATCGAACAGCATATATTTATAAGAATACCATGGGGACGTATTTTCGACAACTTAAATTGCTTGGCATCGACGGTAACTTAAAACTGGTATTTTCTTACCATAGGTTACTATATATTCAGTTACCAGTTTTAAGAGAAGCCACTGGTAATTTTTACCATGATAAACACTATACAGAAATGTAAAGGTTCTAAGTGACATGAATACATTTGCCTTTATAAAACATAAAAAACCCATAAAATTAAAAAAATTTCCTTCAGAAAAAAAGTAAAGTATTCCTTTATTAATACAATAGCCGTTTTTCTTCAAGCCATGAAGTAATTACTTACATTTATAAAGATGCTAATTATACGAACAAATAAATGAGATGCTTCGTCAGTATGTACAGTCGAATTCTGTTATCTCGACTATGGTGACGTGTTGTGCGTCGTGTTTTCATATGCTGCCTTGCATTACACCTTTACATGTTTCAACATGTGTTATTATTTAAACTTTTTTTCCAAATGGCAGAAGAAGAAAATAAGGAAACGATTTTTTGAACCAAACACCGCCTTCCTCTTTTTGTACGCCTTCTCATTATATTTGACATCTTAAATATGATATAATTATATATATTTAATTTGAAGCGGAAGCTAAGTTAATGAAAAAGGCAAAAGTAGTTTATATCTTTAATTCCTATGTATGTATAATTATTTTTCTTATATGTAATAAAGATTATAGATTTTAAAGTTGTCGCGGGGTTATGTTGAAAGAACAGGAACTGTATGAAATTTATGAAAAATGAGTAAATGTTTAAATGGGATAGTCTTAGTGGAATGAGCGTTGAACATAATATTATACTTTTTCACCGAACCTCTGAAGCGAAAAAGATTTTTTTTTTTTTTTTGGAAGATGCTGTTAGTTACCTACAGTATTGTAAATAAACATGTTTAATCCCTATTTTAGTCAAGTATGTGCAATGTGGGAGACAACTAATCGGATCAACGTTTTGAAAATTGCTAGACGCCTACGTTCAAGTGCGACACTAGATTAAAGATTGCGTCCATTTCGTCAGTAGCGTCACCAGAACCAGCAATTATCGACTTTAAAGACTAGATACGCGACTAACAACTAACAAATTTGACAGATCATCTAAGAGTCTGACAGTTTTATAGCTTGGATCACAGGCGCCTGTAACGTGGAAAATATTTCAAAAATAACATTAAGCTATGACTAAGTATATTGTTTAAAGTCCGTTATGTCCATATTCGTAAGCGACATTATCAAATAACTGGTCTGATTCCGATTTCTAACTCGGGACAAATGACTCATCTAAAACCGTTTCTCTTTCAGTAGATATTGGGCATGCTCGATTGTCATACCTGAAAGTTCCGAATTGACAGAATTGCAATCGAGTTAGGTGGAATTCAGTTCTGTCAACGTTCTGTCAGTCCCGACAACTGAGGTGGTGTGAGTAGAATCGTGACGTAATTAAACACAACGATTATGTTTCAGCTGTCATGGTTGGTTGAGATATTTACTTATGCAGTCGGCACATGCGTTCTAGCTCCAGATTCACATTTTCACTCGATTGTCATTATTTTGGGGGTTGACGGAATTCAATTTCGGAATGTTCAATCGAGCATCCCGATAATAATACCATCTTTAAGTCACGTAGACAATTTTTTTAAACGTCATCGTAGACTCGATTGTCAACCTAGCCAAAATTAGTAAGTATTGCCACAGGTTGACGGAATCTAGAGTTGTGAACTTTGATCCAAATTGTTTTAATCCAACCCGTTTCTAACATCGGTATTATTATATCTACTGAAAGAGAATCGGTTTCAAACGGGTTATTCGCCCCTGGGTTAGAAATCGGAATCAGACTAGTTATTTGATAATCTCGATTACGAACATGGACGTAATAGACTTTAGCCATTATACTTCGTCATAGCTTGATGTTATTTTTTAAATATTTCCACGTTACAGGCGCCTGTGGCTTGGATGTTGGTCCGATTATCTGTTATCATATTATTTCTTTTGGTAGAACATAAACGGATAGCCATCTCTTCTTTTAAAGCCTGAACAGTTGAAAGAAGGGCTAACAATACAACGGACTAATTTAGCCTATAAGAGAGAGCACATGCAAATCAATCTGGTCTCGATGAGGCTAATTAGCCAATTAGCATCAGGTATTACGGTTTCAGGAGCACTATGGCATCACCGCAGCCGTCTTAGAATTACGACGTCATATCAAGTTTCATGTTGATGGTTGCTGGTCTAAAAAAGATATACAATTGCTGAAATCAAATATCTTTTCTCTAAATTACTGTTGACGAATATGATGTAGAGTAACTCTAAGGTATTTTAGCGGGAACCCACATGATAAATAATTATAAATTGGCATGAAAACTTTGCTCAATGTACTGTAAACAAAATATACACGAACTATAAGATGAAGATGGATGCTACAACTGTTTTGAAACATTAATCTTTAAAGCCGAGTTCCTGGCACATGTTATATAGAAATTTAATTTAGATTAATGTAAGGTATTAGTGACTTTATTAATACTATGATGTTTCACTAAGATATTGAAAGGAAATGTTACAAAGGACGTATAGTCTTACATAGGCAATGTTTTATTCTGCACCAATTCTGTTCCTTTAAAGCAAGATGCCCAGGTATATATAAATGGTGAAAATGGAACGTATTTTGTCGTTACGTAGCCATTAATACGTCGTAAATTGACCAGTTTATCCGACAATATAAAATAACACTACTGGTATAATTGCTGGAATTTATTTTATCAAATTGCAAATGATAATCTTTTTTATTTCTTATCGTGCGAGGAACTAGATTCTTTTTTTCCGTCGAAATCAGACGATAGATTTTAAGTAAACTTTGATTTAGGACATTATCTAAACGTCGACTATGGGCTATATTTTATTCCTGGGACCTTTCCTTTAATGAACTCCTGACTTTTATCCGTTTCTGTTCAAGCATCAAACAGTAATACGATTAGAGTTTGTTGTCAAGGATAATTAATTAATTAATCATAAAATATCTCTATTAATATAGTTATATAAGAACCAGGGCAATATTCTTATTAGATTGTATAACCTAATTTTGTAAGTGGCGGTGAGTGCAATGATCTTTAAGTAAATCTTTAAGTAAATCTTTCAAAACGAGCATATAATTCCCTAGATCTTTTTTTTTCTTAAGCAATATTCAAAGCAGCCGTATGTTTATATTGGCTCCATACTTGGTCTGAGCTTTTCCTTTCAAATAATTCAATTAATAATTTTCTTCTGGTTTGTGATTAGGGATTAAAAACGAATTTAATTCTCGTTTTAGACATAGAAAAAATGTCTGATAAGATTCATTGGGTTTATTGCTGTTTTCTTATATAGATTTATATTTAATTGGTTTGTTGGATTTTTTTATTTCTTTCAGATTTAAACTGTTATCGAAAATAATAATCAGCGATGCGACGAATACGACAAAAACACGAGAAGAGTTAAAGACATTATTTGATACAGATACAAGGATCATTCTCCTACATTCAAATAGGTTTGTTATTTTCATTTGAAAAGCGAGTTAAAGGGTGAACTTCTTAGAGATAATAACAGACAGCTTTATGGATAACATTCACTAGTTTTATTAACTGCAACGTTTCAATGAGATAGTTAACTGGTAAGATGCTATCGAGGACAGCATTCCAGTACTTATGTTTCAGCAAGGCCATTCAATATTGTTTGCTATACGTACAATGCAGAAAATCTGTCAAAAATTGATTGACTGATCATTTCCACTCGTTTTACTTCAGCAACATACGGTTGATCACGCTCGCCCTAATTCGGACGTCCACTCTACTCGACACCTCTAACTTTATTCTCTTGCGTAGGAGCTAATACAACATACTATCTTGGCAAAGCTTCAAACACTCATAACTTCGTCCAGAATAAAGTAATTTGAATGAAATTTTTAAGGTATTCGTGTTTCATTTTCGAACTGTTATAGTCAAAACGACCAGCTCTTTATCTAAATATTAGATTATGTATCTATAAAGGCAAAACTGTGTTGTTTTAGTTTAGTTCTACTATTATAAAGGTTTTTGGACTATAAGTGTAGTACTATAGGACTTCTTTCTCGTTGTGTTTGTTTCTTCGTGATCGCAACAAGACTACGGCATAAAATATTTTTACAACTTTATTGCTAAGCTGTAATGGCTTTGCAGGTTCCTCGTTCACAATAATAATGGCTGCTAGGAATTTCTGAATGAGCTCTGATCCAACTCGCTCTACACCCTATTTTATACCCCCTAATTTCTGCAGGTCTTCGATAACCTTGACGTTAATTTCCATCCCATATATGTAATAAACCTCTTTATTTCACACGACTAAGATAGGAGACATTACCTTATTTTCGTCTAACAACCATAGGTCAATTAACAGCCAGAATTTGATGGATATTTTGACAATGATTATGATTTAACCAAAATATCACTGGTTTTTTTATGTATAACTATATATTCACGTTCATTAAGTACGTGTGATTTGACTCTATAGACAAGAGTGAAGCAACAATTTTGCAAAGAACCAAAATTGTCTCAAGGACCAAAGTGTTACATTTGACAGAAAAACACAAGTAAAATTAATATTCCAAAAATTTTATTTTTTAACGCAGTTTACTCCGGACTATTTACACCCCGTTATTAATGTGATTAAATTTTCCGAATCAGCTGGAAAAAAATCTGTTTAATTTTGATATTTAGTAGAATGCAGAAAACACACGCGGATAAACTTTCTCATTGTGTTTAAGATGGTGTGTATTTATGTCTTGGTGAATTTAATTATTGCAACATGCTAAACATTGCGAAATACGACAAAATAACACAGAGAAGGGCTATTTTAACAGTTTATAGCAACTCTATATTTAATAAAACTTGACATAAAGCTAATTTGCCCAGCTTAATGATCGCCTTGCTAGTAATTATCCTAATTGCCTTCTCCAACATCTCCATTAAAGTAGAGAGAACAAAGTATTATTTTTTTATCTGTAAGTAATAACAGTAATAAAACCAGCAAGTCTCGAAATAATTACATTAATTTTTTTTTTTAAAACTTCTGTTTATTACCGTGTTTAATTACACTCAACCCATCTTATTGTCACGTGTGCCTATAGTTACTTGTCAGTAACTTGCATTCTTTCCAGTTTTAGTTTAACCGAATCGAAAAATAAACAACAACCTATTGCAATAAGATTATGAAATAAGACTTAAATTAATGGCTGTTTCTTTCAAGGGAATTGTTTTCACGATTTCCTGAGTGGGACTCTGTTTGTTTTTTATTGTGTATCTGATGTCTTTTGTCGATTAATATTTTATCAGTCTAATTAAAGTTACCCTGCTATTTCTTTCCGTTTTATTTCCCAGTAGTTTTCTCAAAAACAACATCTCGGTCTGGAGAAATGTTTCATTGCGCTCTTTTAAGATTGACTGAAATGTGACTGGTCGAATCCGGGTCGTATAGATTAAGTAAATCGAGTGAGACTGCAAAGTTCGAAAGGGAATTTGTAAAATGTGTATGAAAACGGTGGGGGTTTATTTAAAGTAGACGACGTAAGCAGGCTCAGCACATATTAATAGAATGTCAGAATAAAGAAAGCAAAACACCTTCCATTATCATTCTAAACGCACATCTAATGTGGTATTTGATAACTCTCAATTTAAGCTGTATCCCCATTACTGCTTATTAATCTCTATTAGGCAATACATGAAAAATATAAAACAAAATCTAACTGAAAAAAAGAACATGATTACCAGATAGACAGTACAATTAAAACTAAAAAATGAAACGAAACGAAGCGAATCATATAACAAAAGCGGAAACCGGGTGTCCATCTTTAATAGTTAAAGCTCTGGAAGCCTTATAATAAAGTAAAACCCAGAGTCGGTGACTAAAGTAATCTACGAATATTTTGGAAAACCAGACAACATCCATGCCTGCTACAACTGTATACTATATTAAAGTTGATAAACATGTCAGTGACATAATCAATGATGTCGAGACACTGTTATGTTAATCATGATGGACCATGATGTGTATTGTCATGTTTTTCAGTCGAGACTCTAAGGAAATCATTGACATAGCTGTGGAACTTGGTTTAACTGGCAAAGAATACATGTGGATTATAACATCATCAGCAATAGCCAGAGGCAGATCATATGCTTATAGGGGATTTCCTTTTGGTCTTTTTGGTAAGTCTTTAAATCTGGCACTTCCTAATTACATATTTCTACGTTGAGAAAACAAGCCGCCATTTGTACTTTATCAGAGCATAATATGGTTTAAAACTCAAGAATTGCAAGTGCAATAAAGGTGAAGGTTATGGCTGTTGTCGTTGGAAATACAAACATACGGTAAGCGTGTTATACCATAATAAATGTAAAATGAGAGAGAGAGAGAGAGAGAGAGAGAGAGAGAGAGAGAGCGAAATGGGGTTTAAAGTCCACTCGATACAGACTAGGTCATTTCGGGACTAACATATGGTTTTAATTTTATTTCAATAATTCACTTGCGCGTAGAGGTCTTTAGCAGTGGTAGGAAACCGGTGGACCCGGAGAAAACCCACGAGGTTGGACAGGCAACCCTACTCCTTGTCACGTACAACCGGGGATTCGAAACCACGCCAGTTGACTCAATGACAGGCCTCGTGATATAGCAAATGTAAAATAAATAAACAACCACAAGCACGGAATTTAAAGGGATGTCAACGCAAATTACAAATTTTATGACGTGCTTTATTTAGAGACCGACTAGAATAAGGTACTATTTCAGTCCTTTTCTTTGGTTAATTGCTTAATACAATATTGACGGTGCCTCACTGTTAGTTTTTAAATTTGATGTGTAATGGGCAGGGAGAGAATGAGATAATCTATGTTCTGTTTGTAAAATGCTTATATGTGTCCTATCGTATTAATGATGTCAAAGGTACTGGGAAAGGGATGTGCCGTTTCAAGTACCACTACTACTACCACTATTTCGGGTGAACGTCCATTTCAGCCTAGAGTAATATCGCCTTTCTAAAGACATATTATCTGGCTTAAATAGTGACTATTTGTCTCCTTTTTCAACGCCTAATCTCCGTGGGGTAACATTAGTCCCCGACATATCATTGATTAATTTTCCATGCCATCTATTATGAAATATTGCCGTGTGAACAATGGGTGATACTGAATATTTGGCGTTTCGCAATGTGCAGTTATCGTTCAAACCGCACAGCAGTGTTTCTGTCTTGTATTTCTTTAATACATCAGGGCCAAAATCAGTTGTTTTGTTCTGAATAACTTTGTTATAAGCAACTAAAACATGATAACATAGATTAAATACATTAACTTTCATATGTTTTATCTGTTATTCGTTTTCCACGAAACATTCTCTTAATTTAATACTGTTTTGAAATCTGATGACGATCTACTGCAGTAACTAAATTCAGAACTTTATCAATGATTATGAAAAGAACGCAAATATCACCTAATGGATTTTAATGCATACCGAAAGTCAATTACCAAACGCCAGACAGGGGAAACTCTGATATTAACTAAGATATCATGCCAAGCTGAACGGCAATCTGGAATAAAGTGTACTGGTAATCTACACCTATTAAAATAAATTATTACTTATGTTTGAACTTTGGGAATAGGTTAAAGTATATCGTTAGATTGTATATTAAAATTACACTATTAACCGTTTATTTTAGGCTATTTATGAATTATTTTATCGTAAACTTAGACCGCATGGTGAACGACTTTTACGAACAAAAGAAATTTTTTTTGTCATTATTTTTTGTTGTCTTTTTTTTTTTTTTATCATATTGTGATATTCCATGTTACACTTGTTCCATTTACACTACATTGTGAATTGGGTTTATGCTTAGAATTTATTTATCATTAAAGGCTATTTATGACGGTATAATTAAATTTGAAGAAACAATAAACTGTCTCTGGTTAATTTGAAGAAGTCATCTAACTATTGATAATTTTGGTCCCTTTAGTAGGTTAAAGTGGCGAAGTCTACCATCCTCACAAAAATTATAGACCATTTCAAATCTTTTGTGATATGGGTGATATCGTACAATTTCGAAATTAGAATTTTGTAACTTCAACATCTATTGGGATGTATAACTCGTAAAAATCCTTATAAAAATACTTTTGTAATAATATTGAACAGAATGGACGAATAGTACTAGTAGAATTTTGAAATTAGAAATTTGTAACTTGATTATCCATTGGGGTGTAGATCTCGTAAAAATATTATTTCGGGAATTAGATCCTTTAAATGTCATGGAAAATTATTTCATACTCCTATACCTAACGTTATCTGAAGATATTGCTTTGTTATTTTATTTATTGTTAACTTTTATTAAACACGTTCAGTTTACAATTTATAAAAAAATATCGCATTACAGCTAAAATAAGGTTTCAGATTACAATAGCTGACTAATTAACCCTTGAGGGAATATACCATAAGATAAATATGGTTTAACGTCCACTCGACACAAACTAGTTCATTTTGGGATTAGCATATGGTTCAATTTTATTGAGCGTAGGGGTCTTTAGCAGTGGGATGAAACCGGAGAACCCGGAGAAAACCTATGAGGTTGGGCAGGTGACCAAACTCCTTGTCACGTGTAACTGGGGACTCGAAACTATGCCAGCTGACTCAATGGCAGACCTTGTGATACAGCGCGCATGAGCTAACCATTCGGCCATCCAACCCCCCAGTTTCTAAAAGACTTTGATGTCAAGTACTCTTCATATATTTGACTTATATTAGGAACCTAAACTCTGTATATTACTGTTTTACCCATCAGACGTTGATGTCAAGGATAGCTCTTCATATACTTGACTTTCATAAGGAACCAAAAGTCTGTATATATTACTGTTTTACCTATTGATAGATACGTGTATTTAAAGCGACGATCCTTTACCATTTTGCTTCTAGGTTTCCTTTTGAAAAAAATATATAATAGACTCCGCTCCAAAATTGAACATTGTTATAACCATCATTCTTGATATTTGGAATCTGAAATAAAGATTGAGTTAAGACGTTTACGTCTGGGTTCCAATTACTACAATTTTGTGAATCCCAGTGAATTTGAACCTTTAAACGACATGTCCCCAAGCGCTACGCATCTTGATGTTGTTTTTCTTGTGGGCCTAAGACTCTGCCAATTCAAGTATGATTGATATGAAACTCGGGAGGCTTGTTCCTTGAACAGTTGCGCATCGATTGTTGTATGACGTCACAATTCCAAGATGGCTGCGATGACGTCATGACCCGTCTCTGGTCCATATAATTCGCTCTTACTTGTTGAATGAAAACCATGATCATAAGGCTAAATTAAAATCGATAATCAAATGAATATGAGGGCCATAAATACTAAATGAGCTGATTAATATTTTGGCTTCCAGCTATATCTTATGAACGAGAATTACAGGCTATGCAGAACAGTTTAGTGCGGTCAGTAGATATTTGGATGGAAGGATTAAAACAAATGGCTAGACAACGTCTTACCGCCACGGCTAATTTATCACCTGGTTTTACCTGTAATGATAGTAATCATTTATACTGGAAAGATGGAGAAACTGTTTACAGGTAATGTATACCTCTCGCTATTTACCTGTCATGATACCTGTCAATCATGTTAGAAATATAATCAGCAAGGATGTACGTGATAACGACTATAAGATCATTCTTCTTTGGGAGGAATTAAGCTAGTTCATGTGTAGTATATAAAAACATTATTTTGGCATTTTTCAATGTAAACGAAGCTCTTGTAGCTCAGATTCCTCAATATTTGTAATTCAATAACGAATTCTGTTTTCTATTTGGTAAGGCTTACAAATTTTTAGATATGTTTCCAATTACGCAGTGTATGTTTATATAAGTGAAACATACATATTTCATGGTAGTGTGATATTTTATCTACCAGCCGATATATACCTGTAATATAGTTTACCAATTCTTGGCGTTTTGTTTCTTTAAAATGTACTAAAATGTACATACAAAATGTACTTAACGTTATAATAACTATAATCCGGTATAATGCGAATCAATAATACTCTCTAATATTGAACTCAAATTTGAAATGAATTTGAGTGTAATGTCCTATTTTTCTGCACCTGTCAGACTTATGAAGGGTCGACATACACCATGCAGTGTGCTATGAGTCAACTTTGCCAGGACAGATTAGCTATTGCACTTCATCGAAATACAACTGTCAAGTATCATTTGACATGTTCAGTGATTGTCCTATGTGTTTGTACCATCCGAACGATAAGACGCTATTCCATGACAATCCCCCATCCTGCACAACTGACAAAGGAAAGCCATTTTTTGAAAATCCAGGGGATCTTTAATTACCAAGGTAAAACAAATGAGCAATGTAAGAATATCAAACTCGTTGAATTTGTCCAGCGAAAAGCATGCGATTTTAAAAGAGTGAGAGGCAGATGTTTAAGGCTAAGGGTGTTTAATCTTTTATTTGCCCCGTAGCAACTCGATTACCTATTACCAATCCGGGTTTAATGTCGGACAATGTATTTAATGTAATTGGGCTATTAGATATCATAAATTCAAAACAACTGCGAATACGAGAAGGAAACCATATTCTTTTATATTGTAGATGTCTTACTGAGACTAAGTATTCATTTTTATACAGCCACATTGTGATTTAACAATATTTATTTGGAATTTTTAAAATCTTACAACTAAATTAATGTATTTTGCAGTCACCCCTGTTCGCTCTCCCTGAAATCTATATGGATTTATATCTCTCTGATTTTCTACGACTTTCTATAAAAAAATTCAGTTATTCCCCTTTGATACGACATCTTGTTAGCGCTCTATGGGCCTCAATTATCAGTTTACCTTTCCAAAATTCATACTGGTAGTTTGTCCTACTGAAAGAATATTTACATTGGGGCTTCAGTTACAATCTGATCTTTCCTTGAAAAAAAAGAAACAAACATTTCGGAACTAATATATTATATTTCAACAATTCCCTTTCATTGGGATGCGGGGGGGGGGGGGCAGAGGACACGGAGAAAACAGATCGATATCAGTCAATGGAATAATCCAGTTGATTTTCAATGTTTTTCATGGATCTCATCAAGAGTCGTGCCCCTTTGTTAATGAATCTTGTTTAACAGTAACTTATACTTCTGAAATGTATATTGTTGGTCTATCCTTCCTTTTGACTTTCAATAATAACTTCCAGGGTTACTCCCCTTAGTTCCGATTATTGACAAATTAAATATCGCTAGAAAATGATCTTAGTTAATGGAAATGTTGGGTAATTGGTCCTGTGTAGCCGCTTATGTTTATGTTTCGATATCCGAATTGTTTCAATGGGAACAATTCGTCATAAGTTACTTTTTTTAATTTAATATGCCATGCTCAGCATGTCATCTTGCTTTGAAATTGCTATCCGACCAGCAAACAAGTTAATGATTTGATTGTCTATGTGGGGTCTATTTCAAGAATATTTTTGACTAATGTAAAATAATTAGTATGTTCAATACGATTAAGTAATTATAATTGTAGTTCGAGATTTATATTTATACTATCTTTGATAGCAATAATACACTATTAATATGCTCTATACACTATAATCAAGTCTTCCTCATAAATATTCAGTAGATTAAATCTGTTTTAATAAATGTAATACTAAATTATTCCAATCTCTCGCTACAACATGTTGCCATTATTGACCCATTTCACGCCGCCAGTAAATCTCTGTAATTCACTTAGTATCGTAATATCCCCTATGGCACGCTGGAGTCAGAGAACATAATTTGAATATACATGTACACAAAAAAAGCCACAAAGGTTGCTAGCTGTAGTTTTCTGTACAATTGATTTCTGACACATTCTTGTCTTTTTGCAGATATTTAAAGGATGTGATTATTCGGGGTACTGATCCGGTCAAATTTACCGATAATGGTGTTCTCAAATATACAGAATTTAAGATACTTAACGTTCAAAGAAAAGGCCCCATTCACAGAGATTTTGTTGAGGTAAAGAAATTCACTAATTTGACAAAAACAAAATGTAAATTGATAGTTATTCAAATCGATCTAAAATTACAATTGGCTTTAAAGAAATTATGTGCTGTTTACTCAGAAAACTACATGATTAACTACATGCAATTCTACTTTACACTATTGGACACTGTATCTTTGGTGTTGTTGAATCAACTTAAAAGAGATCATGACACTTGTTTGTCCTTTGAAATCCCTTTTGTTTCACCGATTTTAGAATAAATAATTTATAAGTTAGAATTGAAAATTGTACTCTCTATATTCTCAAAATGATGGATCATTTTCCAAATGAACTTAAATGCATCCTGATGCTGGTGATTTAAATGGGTCATAAACATCGAAGCTACCGGAATAAAAACTTAAAACTTTAACCCAAAATTGTAACTATGCAAGGGACAGTCTGGTTATAATGAAGCTCCTTGGCTTTTATTTCATTTTGAGTCATGTTGTCTTGGTTATGCCTTCTCTGTTATAAGGTCATAATAGATTCAACTTAATATTATGACAAATTTAGACATTGTTCACTTCTGTTTAAAATGTGCAATTGCGTTGTAATAATTTAGTAATATACGTATTTGCGCTGCCTATTCAGAAAATGGAACCTCTCGCAAGACAAGGGGCAAATTGACATGGAAAACTTAGATATAAATTCAGCTTGGTGGATTTGTTGCATAAAAGCCCAACGTCAGTGGCAGAAAATCATTGATTTCAATGCCCTTATCTATGAGGAAAGGGATGTGACAGTCGTTGAATTTTCGTGAAGGATTACACTTAGTGCTTCTTTAATACCCGATATTACAGGTTGGTAAATGGACATCGTTGGGTATAGAGATGCAGGATATAACATGGCCAGGTGAAGCTGCTGGACCACCTAAAGGTAAACCAGAGAAATATCATCTACGTGTTGTTACGTGGAAAGAAGAACCGTACGTGATGTATAGAAACCATAACGATGCTGGTATTTGTGATATAGGGACCGTACCATGTCGCGTATATCCTCGAGATGAAGACACAAACATGTAAGAAGATTATGACTACATAAAATTTTTTTAACTTATTTATTTCAGACACCCATATCGCTGTACCGTGACAACAAATTCTCGTGTCGGACTTAATGATATACAACATGGCATACTTTTGTTATGGCTTTGATAATAGTTGTGTTTGATTTTATATACATACACCATTTCTGATGGCAAACCTTCTAAAGAGCCCCGCGATATCGAAACGTATTCTTAATTAGAATGCTCTATTTTATAGTTCTTTGTGAGATAAAACCATACTCCACTCTGTGTTCGCGTTCATTAAATTAAGGGAGACTTCTGTCAATACAGCGGTCTATTTCTGGAGTGTTTTATCTAAAAGAATAGAAAATTAGTCTTTACCCCAAATTAATTTCAAAGCAAATGTATGGAAACGCAATTAGTCAGTAATGTACCGTTGACTGTGCTTGGCCTTGGGACAATATTGCTATTTACCGAATGTTTAAAATAGATTGCTATTTTATTAGAATTTTTTGTTTCTTTAAGTTTTACCTATTTTACCTTTAAGTATCACTGCTCTCTGTTACAACCAGTATGTAGATATAGACTAATAGACCTGCATAATTATGCACATATAAATCCAATTGACAAATGGCGCCATAAATGATGGTATCATTGAAATATGATAATGATTATATCGAGTGTGCAGTAATAATATAATGTGTTTCTCTTGGCATGTAAATTAATATTTGATTACGGTGTGATTATAATATATAGTGCGGGCTTGAGATTTGGGCTGAAACATGCAAATAAATAAAAGTGTGCAAAAATCTGGTGTTAAAAGTACGTTTGAAAATATGCAGCCGTAAACTAAATTCAAATGAACTGCGATTTAACGTCCTGCTTTATTGTACCAGTAGTAAATGAAAAAAACTTTGTTTGAATTTCTTGTTTTATTTCTTACCAAGAATCAAATTCCTCGATTGTTTTAAAGACGTTTGTGATGTCTATGCACTTATTCTGTAAGTAATGGGATTATTTCACGTTTAACCCATTTCCACGCCCAACCCAAATTCTAAAAACAAAATCTAAATCCCGAATTCATTGAAATCCATACTCTAGTTATGTAGAGTGCAGTTTTTAGACGACAAGGGAAGTGGGCTCAGTTCATCAAATATATTTTATATAACCCCCGAGTTAAAGCTCTATAAAGCTAATAAACCTGCTAAAGCGAGGATGTTAGAAAATAAGCGAAGTGAAATTGTCTATTAATGTTTACATGTTTCAGACGAACTGGTAACACAACGGTGGTAAAATGCTGTGCTGGATTAAGTATTGATCTCCTCAAGTCTCTAGCTCAGCGGTTAGATTTTGATTATGAACTGTTTGAAATGCCTGACGGCCAGTTTGGATCTGAAGACAATGTATGTTTAATATAAATTTTGTTTATTACAATCAAAATAATAGTTGCTGTTTGAACTGTAGATGCGTGCTATTAATCAACTTTAAAATCATATGAGACCCAATAACATGAAACCGAAGTGAGGAAAATATATCTGAAATTCGCCAATCTTATTAAAATTAATGTCGGATACGATTCGTTTTATTTATGAAGTCGTAATAACTAGGTTAACATTTGACATATTTTCTTTGAACTTCGTATTCAGAACAAGTGAACTTTATGACTAATCAAATCAGACATTAATTATATTGGTCACTTCTTGAAAATGCCCCTGTCCAGACACGCCTATCTAGTATATAATACGCCTATGGTCTTTGACATAAGATTATTTATTGCTGCCGGTTATAATTTTATGTCAGTAAAGACATTAATCGGGTTTGATAACAGGAAATTCTAAATTACATGACATTATTGTTCTTTCGATCAAATAACAGTATATTTAACACAGGTTCTAAAAACAGAAGTAGGCTACATGAAACTAATTTAGCATCCTACCATCCTGGAATGTGTTATTTTAGAACAAACTCGATCTGTTTATCTACGATACAATTGTGCACACTTTCTTTACAAAGCTTTGGAATATGACGAGGCCGCCCCTCAAAATAGAAATATGTCAAATAAACGGAGTACAGTATTGTCAAACTTAGTATCAATCATAGCCCTAGCAATGGATATATTATTATATTACAGAGAACAGGTGAATGGAATGGAGTTATGGGTGGGCTACAAAGTAAACAGGCCGATTTGGCCATAACGTCATTAAAGATAACCCCTGAAAGAAGTGAGGCAGTTGACTTTTCTGTACCATTTCTAGAAACGGGCATAACTATTATAGTAGCACTTAGAGACGGCGCTATTTCACCAACAGCTTTCTTGGGTAGGCAACGTTTTAACTCTCTAGATTACTGTATTATTTTTAAAATTTCATTTCTTTGTTCTTTTTTAAAGTTTCCGAATATATTTTTGTAGATTGCCAAAGAAGAAATCCATAAATATAAATCTCAAAAGAAAGATATAATGTTTAATATATGATTACTTAAAGATAGGTTACTTATGCACGATCTAAACATGACTATTGCCGTCTTTTTTGTTCTTTAGACATTTATTTACATAAAAAGCCCATATTGAATGGGATATTGAATGGATTGGGTCATCCTCGCTGTATAATTGTTTAACGTTGAAATGGACGTCACTCAAGATTGGGCTTCGTTTATTGTACTTAACAATCTGCTATTTCTTGTCAAAACTTCAAACACTCATAACTTCGCTCAGAATAAAGTAATTTGGCAGAAATTTCCAATATATTCATTTTAAATTATCTATGTTTGAACTATTATAGCAAGACCGGACAGCTCTTTTCGAAATCGTAAATAATGCATCTTTAATTAATGTGTATTTTCAGAGCCGTATGACTACCCAGCTTGGTGTTTAATTCTGTTGTTTAGTGTCCACGCTACGGGAACTTCTATATTTATCTATGAATGGCTGAGTCCTTACGGTCTTAATCAAGGAGGCAAAAGTCCTTTGAGAGGTAACTGAGGTAAATCTTGGGTGTGATATTTGAAACGGTTAGTCGCATATATATACCTCTGGTATGCGGATATTTGTCGAGTTACTGGTCACCCGAGTAATCGCCTCACATGAACTCGGTTTATCTGGTAAAACTGAGCAGAAATTGTATAGTTGGTTGGGTGAATGTACATTAAATAAGTTGGTTGAGTGTTCAGTGAATAAGAGATACCGCTTAATTGAGAAACTAGAGTAAGTAATCTGGAAATTTGAAATAGTCTAGATTTTCATGTCCCGTTTATATTTATCAGGCATAATGCTGGTTTGGTTAAGCTGCATGTAGAGCAAAGGTGCGAGTTTCCTTTTCCTACTACCGATGTACAGACCTAACATATTCCGAACATCGAAAGAGAATATCGATCTTGCACACGGCTCAACGCAGAAACAGTTATGCCACATTTATGAACGAAATATATGTACAATCACAACATTAGTAAAACCACTTAATTATGAGAACAGTGACACTTTGAACAACTTAATGAAACCATATGCAACAATATTATGAACGCTGATTCTCAAATAGAAATGCCTGTTCCAATTAATGGTTCGATTTCATTGAGTATTTACAAAGTAAGATGAATTGAATATTTCCGGTATCACCTACAGACGATACAAATAAGCCAGCGTCACCTATACGAGTTGGGTAAAACATTAGAATGGGTCTCTCAAGCTGGGAGATTAACGAAATTATGTAGGTATTTTGATGAGGTCATACTATCAAAGTTTTAATGATCCATGTATTTTTTTTAATCCTCTCCGAAAAACAACGGTCGTATTGTTTAGCCGTAATAAAAGTAAAATTGTCGCGCGTGGGTTACTCAAATATGGCTTTTTTTAATGTTTCAGAGCACAAATTCTCATTATTCCGATCTTTTTGGTTAATATGGGCCATGTTATTCAGTGCTGCTGTATCAACAGATACACCTCGAGGTGTTTCCAGCAGATTTCTAGCAAATATTTGGGCTTTGTTTGCATTGGTCTTCCTTGCAAGTTATACTGCCAACCTGGCTGCCTTTATGATTACAAAAGAAGAATATTATGATTTATCAGGCATACAAGACTGGAGGGTAAGTTAGTCGATAGATTTTAATGCCGTGTACACCACACGGCACCCGTCGCTAATTTTCTCACACGCTGTTTAATGAGTTTTTATCTCTATTACACAAAAACTGCTTCAATGAGTTGGTGTCACACAAAAACTGCTTCAATGAGTTTGTATCACACAAAAACTGCTTCAATGAGTTTGTATCACACAAAAACTGCTTTAATGAGTTTGTATCACACAAAAACTGTGTTAATGAGTTTGTATCACACAAAAACTATGTTAATGAGTTTGTATCTCACACAACTGCATTGTACATTTGCTCTATTAATATGGTATAATGCCTTCAACGTACAAGTAAAGAAATTATGCTTTAATATGTATGAGTATTTATTTTAAGACCCATTTATAACATTTGCAACAGGTCCGCACTAACTTAATCTGAACCTGGCTTACATCAGTTTATATCCCACAGAAGCTGCTTTGATGAGCATCCTAAGCAAACTTCTGCAATGAGTTTGTATCCCATAAAGGGCACTCATTTTTAAGCTTCTACAACATAGTATACATTTAAAAGCAGACACGCATTCTGTGCTCTTGGGGTGGTTTACTGGGTCCCAACCGCGACTCATCTTGTTGTTCTTCTTCTTGGGGGCGACGATCGACATGATACTTGACATGCTTGTTCCTTGAACAATGCCAATCGATTGACGGACTTATATGACGTCACAATTCCAAGATGGCTGTGACGACGTCATGCTCGATTCCTAGTTCATAGTACGCTCATACGTGTCTGTATATTTCAGCTAAGAACACCATATGCTACCAAGCCACCATTTAAATTTGCCACTTTACCAAATGATACGACGGAAATCAACATGTTAAAGAATCATAGAACCATGGCGGAATATATGAAAAGATTTAACAAACCAACAGTTAAACAGGCTATCATTGCACTTAAAAAACAGTAAGTCTCTAGTTGCATAATATAAACATTATAGATCTCGTTGTACTATACAATATTGTTGGTAGTTTACTGGCAATCTAACAAGCATCGTTTTCTTAAACGACTAAACAAAATGAGTGGAACGACTCGATCTGCGATGAAACAAGACGGCTAAAACCCTTCTAGATATACAATGAAATCATACATCTTACTGTTCCGTCCCCACAAGGCTAATACGCTGTTCATTGCCAATCAGCCTGGACAATCCCGAGGAACCTTTTCGGCCAACAACCAGGATCGTGCTCACTGTGACGTCCAAAAGAACAAATGTTGAGAATAAAAATATTCAAAAATTTCAATAATTTAAGGCCAAAATGTTTTGGGTTTTTTTTTTACTAAAAGTACATATGATTGTTTATGAATTTAATGAAGACGGGCATACGCCACGCAGTGTGATATGGGAGAAATATTGCCCGGACAGCGACACTATGAACCACTCTTATATCGAATTCCAACTGGTTCTTTTAGGTGCACGCATATGTATAGACGAGGTCGAACACGGGTCTTCCCGCGGCTCCGGTTAGATTATACCACAAAAAATCATAATATGTTGCAGCCCCCCCCCCCCCCCGTGAAAAAATTTTCTACCATAAAAAATAGATATACATTGTCCGTCAATATTACAGCACCCCTGAGAACACTTCCCGTCCCCCCTTGTTGCTCTGAGCTAGTTACGGCCCTGATATGTTTACTATGTAATCAAACTCCCCAAAAAATGAGAAGCCCTTGGTATTAATAGTCCTATAAAGAGTAAACATACCCTGCCTCTTGTACGTTCAGCAAACGAATTTTTAAAATTATTTCAACAAACTATATTTCTTCTGACTATTTCAGGGAAATCCAAGCTTTTATTTATGATGCCACAGTATTACAATATTATGTTGGTAAAGATGATGGATGTAAATTAAGAGCTGTTGGTAAATGGTACGCCATGTCAGGCTATGGTGTGGGTTTTCCGAAAGGTTCGCCCTGGGTAGAGAAGGTCAACGAAGCCATGTTAGACCTACAGGATATTGGTGAGTTTATCAGAAACCTTCCTTCAGCTTCATTTACTTCTCTAGAAAACCTTCCCTACCCACCACAATTATTTATTGAGGACATTTTAGACGGACGATTTATATGTGTGTACTTAAAGATCTGCAATGTAAAACAACCATCAAAAGTTTATATATTTTTTACAATAATGTGTATACGTAACATAGCATACCTTACACTAGAAAGCTATAATTGGGGTTAACGTCTTACGCTGGTGCTTGTCTGTGATATCACCCAAGGTGGAGGCGGACGTAAAACCCCACGAACGAACGTACCCTGGTGCACCAACCGGAATAATAGGAAATTATATCATGATAGCGGCGTTAAGGCCTATTATAACACAAAAACGACCGTCAAGTAATTTGTTTTTGTACTCTATTGTTTAAATAATCATAATCTTTTAGAGGCATTTAGTAACTGGATAGAGCAATAAGTTATAACACATACTTATGGAATAACAATGGTTTATTGTTTAAATACTCGTAAATCTGATTTTAAAAATGATCGATAACTCTTTAATCAACAGGATAGGTTATAACATATCAACGTTATGTTAACAGATTTTCGTATTGTATTTAAGGTGAAATCGAACGACTAAAAAAATTCTGGTTAGCCGGTGTCTGTCACAAAAAACAAAAGAAAGGAATGTCGAGTCAGACTCTTGGAATACTGAATTTCACAAGTGCTTTTATTTTACTGGGAGGAGGCATGTTCCTCGGTGCGGTTTTGCTTATTCTTGAACATCTCTACTTTCGGTTTGGACGAAAAACTATACGGAAGTGGGATAAATGTGGTTGTTGTTCATTGGTTAGTTTGGTAAGTATATGGGTGTTTGTGAATAAAAATCCCATTTCTTTCAGTTTTGATCATAGCAAGCTTTGGCTCTTCTATTGCGGAAGCAGACGTTAAACGACCATGTTACACTGCAATAGCTGCGATTTAGCTGTTCTGATAATTTATATTTCTGAACTCTAGGATGACATTTGATTAACACTTTGGGGTGCTTGTTTTATCAGATGTTTCCGCAGCTCAAATCTTATTATAATATTGTATTGCATTTGAACTTTAAAAAAAACCAGTAATTATTGGCCCTCTTGTTGAACACATATCATCGTCATTTCATGAATTGTTGCACTTTTGGCTTAATCCTGGCATTGGTTTGCTTTTATTTAATGGAGCCGCGAGGGCTCAGTAAGACGTTGACTTGCTAACTAGGGGTCCTGACAAGGAACAACGTACAGTCGTTCGGATGGCAGGTCCCGTGGACACATTGGCGTGCACGTAAAGGAACCCTTGGCAGTTGGAATTCGATATAAGAGAAGGTCGTAGCGCCGTTATCCGGGCAAAATTTCACCCCGTATGGCGTATGCCAATCTGCATTAACCCAGTCGGAGCAGAGCAGTAGGGCGTTAAACCTTATTTCATTTTTTTTTAAATTAACAGAGTATGGGGAAATCACTTAATTTTGAACAGTCTGTTATGGAAGCTATTGATTTACACAGACGACATAAGTGCAAGGATCCAATTTGTGAAACTCAGTTATGGAAAGTTCGACATGAATTAGACTTAGCGTTGTTAAAAATAAGTAATCTTCAAAAACAGATAGCGTAAGTATTGTCTGTATTAAAATTGAAAAATAAAGTTTTATCTAATAATAAACCCAGATGCCATATCTGCAAATTGGTGCTAAATTTATTAAAGGGTCTTTATAGAAGATTGGATAAATAGCTGGCAGTTCTCACTATAATAGTTAAAAACTAGATACTGTAAAGGGGGTACGCTGAAAATTTCCGTCAAATTGCTCCACTCTGAACCGAGATAGCAGCGATTGAATTTTAGGCCTAGCCGCGATGATCATTACAAATTTTTTAAAAAAATAGTCTCGATTATTCACTTTTGCATTTAATCACCAATGAACGTTCATCAGCAGATCGGATTCAAATCCAGTGAAAACCCGACATATAAGATGGCATCGAGAATTGATTAAGGTCTTTTTATATTAATATATGTCTAATTATATTAATAGTTTATATAACATTTCGGGCCTAAAGAAAGACCTGCAATAGGCATATTTAGCTTTTGCATAATGTATGTTTAAGTGCAACTCTCGTTCAGTTTAAAAGCTTATTTTGGTAATTTTCTAGGCGACGCAATGCAGAAGACAGCAACGATGTTTGGAAGTACGACCCTGAGAGCACGCGCCAGCAGAATGGATTGCCTCGACACAGAAATAAAGGAGACCGAAAATCAAATAATTCGGATAACCTTCAGTCTGACCCGCTGACAGGGAAAGAAGCCGAAGCCCAGCTAGACAAAGAAAATATTGGCAGTGCAAGTGGAACTCAAAGTGAAGATGACGATATTGGCGAAGGAGAAGGTAGAATGGGTAAAAATAGAAGACATGATGGGAATTATTACATGGGGGTGGGTAAGGGCATGGACATCGAAAGTGTTATATACTGAAACCATGTATATTACATAAAAATCTCATTGTCATTATATTTTAATTGGACACATCTCAGTCATTGTATAAATTAACATCTCACATCATATTATAAGAACATTTTCCATGTAAGATTTATATTCCGGGTTGTTAAATCTAGTATTATTATTATTATTATAAAGTTTAGAGATTAAAATGAATAACACACACAGATGTTCAAGGAGATGGTATATAGAATGTATGTTTTTTCTGCTATAATACTGTATATGTATTTTGTATGTAATTCTATGCAAAATAATGATAGATTGGGAGGAAATAAATGGGCATCTTCCTGGGCTAACCCAAACTGCTGTCGCCAAAATTTATTTATATACTAACTCTATTAATGAATTATGTAACCAATGTGTCAAAATAACATTCAGCTTGAAAGTTAGCCTGTCTTATTGCAAACCAGAGAGGGTTAATCGCTTCTGTATTGGCAGTGTCGCGGTTCTGCTCGGTACTGGGGACCTTCCTCCGCTTAGTGGAGTAGAGCGGAACGATACCAATGGGGATATCGCAGATGGGTTTGGACCAGATCCTACCTTTATTTAGTTACAAACTAAGAGTCCTAAACCTGGACACTTTTGCAGATAAAAGGGCTACCCTCAGTCATTTGTAAAACATGATGTGTTGAACTGAGACACTCAAATTTTATTTTGAGAAAGTTATATTTTTTCAGCATGCTTTAACAACAACTGTAATTTGTACATACATGTACATACATGTACAAACGATGGTTGATTGATCGTTGCGATTTTCCCTTTCCATGTGAAATAAAACGAAAACATTAAGTGTTAATTTTGAGCTATTGTCATTATGAGATACTATAATACCTAAATTATGTAGCTAGTTGTGGGGTGAGGAGAACTATATTCCTTTATAAACGTAATGTGAGTGTTAATAAAACAGCACCCTGGCAATGTGTCTCTTTGAATGTGTTAACAAAACATGAGAGAAAATTCGGTTCAAGAACAAAAAAAGAAATATATGGTATTTATTTTCAAATTATTAGTATTCATTACCCAATTATATGAAATTTATTATTATCAACTGACATTTTATTGTACATAATTATATCAACAATATGTAATAATATACATAAATAGGTACAATAGTATATTCTCGAGCATACTTTATTGTAAATAAATCATTATTTAATAAATGTGAGTTATGCCCCTTTTAATTCAAGATACTTTCCCGGGTACAAACTGGGTGATTTGATGATATATTTGGACTAAAAACATATTCAAACTAATTAATCTCAAAAATTTTCCTCATATCCCTCTCAAAACTCTGTATTCGCCGGAAGATACCTATTATTATTTTCTGTCAACTTCTTTTTCCGCCGTTTAATTGTAGAGTCTCTTGTACGTTGACACCCCTCAATGTTCCCCAAACCGCCTAATACCATTTGATCAAGAAAACAACTAATCCGGGCAATCCCTTCGTCAAACAAGCACACAAAAAGCTGGCATGCAACACTTGGGTTGCCAGTTAGTGATACCCTGACATTTTTGCCCAGTGCTTGCCCCATGGGTGTTTTTGGGGTAGTTCAGTATAGATTGGGTGTCTATACTTTCCATATATACCACATCTGCCAAACTTTTATTGGAATTAACCACACGACAAATACTGTCGGGACAATGTATCTTTAATCAATAGGTTAAACCACGAGCGTGTTACGTCACCGTGGATGAGATTTAGGGCCCTTTCCTGGTTAGATACAAAGTGCAACCGATGATTTAGTTGCAAAAATTTGACTAAAATTAAGGTCGCCATGATTGTACTTTGGGCGGGGAAAGTTTATACAGAGAGGAAACGTATATGATAAAGATAGGTAATTGTACTTTGGGCGGGGAAAGTTTATACAGAGAGGAAACGTATATGATAAAGATAGGTAATTGGGGCATTTACAAGACAATTTCACAGATGTGGCACCATCTTGATCAAAAGCAGGTATGGGGTTCGCCATGATAAACTAGAGAAGTAGCATACAGGTAAACATGCAACTGTCAGTCCTGCATTTAAACCTAACCAACCTCTTAACTCTCGTATTGGTCCACCTCAAGAACATGACTATTCACCACACAGAATAGCCAGAACAACCAAAATAACAAAGAATTTATGAATATTATTGAGCACTTCCACATATATTTTAACAATGTCATTCAATGTGAATGACAGGATTATTTTCTTTCTCATCAAACATAGTTTCCAATAAACGTTTTTGATCATTACCACGGCGATAAAGTCTCATCATTAATGTTGGTTTAGCAGGCGAGGCAATGGTATCTCCGGCTAAAGGATCCACCACCATTGCATCAGGTGTACCAGCCCCACTGCCTGTTCTCTCACGTATATAGTCTGGCAAATTCACAGGATTAAATTCACAAGATTTTCTGTGGCTGGATAATCTTTCTAACTGTCCAATAAAATCACAACCGCTATATCTAAACGGGCATCCAACCTGAAAACAGCATCATCCAATTCAGTCAATACATTCCCCAAATGAGCATCTACACCAAATGAAATGGGGTTTAGCGTCCTACTGTTTTGCTCCTAAACTGGGCTAATGAAGACGTGCATCTACACCCAAGTTTAAACACTCTAGTCTAGTCAGATGCAGAGTCATTGTGTTCCAGAGTTTTAACCAGTCAAATTGCTTATCTCTACTTCACCCAACAAGTAAATGTTCATCATCCAACATAGTCAACAAATTCACCTAACAAAAAACCTACACCAAGTTTGAACATTCTACTAAAGTTAGAAATTGAGTTATTATGTCCCAAAAAGGTGATGAATGGACAGACTGACAGGCCGAAGGAACTCTACCTTCTTTGAAAGAAGGGGGACAAATAAAATAGTATTGCTTACTATTTGATCTCCTATAATATTCTCCAGTATAAAGTCATGATGTAATGAACATCTTGAAATTGGTTTCCTGTTCAATAAAAGTAAGATGGTGTATTAAACCTGCCCAAAGATGATTCAATAATAAAAAAGATAATTTTTGTTAACTACATGTACCTGTTAATACAAAATACAAATTAACAGTCAACACTAATGTAAAATTATCATATAATTTCAAATATTTCAAACCTTGTCAGGTACAACTGGGGAATCGAAACTGCGCCAGTTGATTCAATGACAGACCTTATGATACAGTGCGCACATGCTAACCATTAGGCCACCCAACCATCCTATAGTAGATGAATAAAAAATAATTTACCTTGAATAAAGAATGTTACATTGTTCATTCAGAATGGGTCTAAGAGTAAAGATCCAATTCACAGAAATCGCAGCTAATATCTAAATGATTTACAAAAAAAGGAAAAAGGGGAACTACTCCTGTTGACATAACTTACCTGTCCTCTGGACATGTCTTGCTATTTTTAAGCCATTGCATAATACACTATAATAATAAAGGAAAATTATTAATAAATATCTACAAAAATTAAATAATATTGTGCATGCTTTCCTATCACTAGCCAGTATGTAAATTTAATTTTAATTATAATATTTCACAAATCTAAACATTGCTTAAAAAAGATAAAGAGACTTTCGTTTTAAAAAAATATAAAGATACAATCATGCAGGAATAATATACAACAGGGAAATGAAATGGGGTTTGTTGTCCTACTTTTCTCCACCAACTGGGATAATGAAGGATATACAATATACACATACACCATGCAGTGTGCTATAGGTATGACTGTAAGGGAATTTTTCCCTAGACAGCAGTGTTTATCGAATTCCAACTAGCAAGGGGTTTTTTTTTATGTGTATGCCACAGCATGGCAACATGTATTCAGGACCTCAGCTTTTTTGTACCATCCAAACGAATATGGCTGGCCATAATCTCGACAGAACTGGTGAAGCTTGGTTTAAACAAAACCATTGCTTTTGGGATGTGGTACACACACTGTAGTAGGTGTGTTGAAATATCAGGAGATTTACTGTTGTAGGCCGTAATTACATTTTAACCAATGGTACAAATAATTTTGGGGTGTTTGGGTCAGGTAAATGAACCTTATTTTAAAGCAATAATTATTAATAATGTACAATGTACCATACCTTTTTGCAATAGCTGTGACCACAGGGTGCTCGCTGTGGTTCTATAAAAACCTCTTGACATATTGAGCAGTATAAATGACGACTTACCGACTCAGGATTTAAGAAATATCTGGGGCTGAAATATGTAAGCTAATTATTATATAAGTAAATGAAATAGTCTTAGTTGGACTGAAATGCTATTTAAAAAACGTAAATGTTTTTTGAAGGCATAGCCAGTATTGACAAATTATTCATCTTGGTTCCAATTAATTCAAGACATTGAAATAATAACACTATTATAAAAAAAATAATATTGTAAAGCAAAATACTGTACTTACTTTTGATCAATGTCATTGGAATGCCATGTCAGAAATGAAACAAAATTGGGATTAACCAGGCTGATGAGATATGAGTGAAATTTTGCCAGGATGGACATTGGCGCTACACCCAGGCCTACATGTAGTCTACTATTAAATGGAATCCCAACTGTCAAGAGTTCTTTTACGTGCAAGCCAACATGTAAGCATAGACCAGACCTCAGTTTTTCATCCGTTCCCAAAGATTTGGTGCTGTACTTTGCCAAGCCCTCTGTCTTGCACCACTGACAAATGGACACATAATATACATACTATGACTGTAGGTACACTAGCCTTAGTCTATTTTGTTTGTGATGACAAGGGGGTCATGGTGGCTAAGTGGGTAAGACGCTGGCTCGCTAGCCTGGAGAAAGTTCACCCAGATTTCCGGCGTGGTTCCCCCTTGTCAATGATGCAGGACGGAGGGCCTGACAAGGACAGCTGTCTAGTCATTCGGATGATACGGAAAACTGAGGTCCCGTGTACACATTGGCGTGCACGTAAAAGATCCCTTGACAGTTGGAATTCGATATAAGAGTAGGTCGTAGTGTCGCTGTCCAGGCAAAATTTCCCTCATAGCACACCGTATGGCGTATGCCCATCTTCATTAGCCCAGTTCGGAGCAAAACAGTAGGACGTTAAACCCCATTTCATTTCATTTTGTGATGACAAAACTCTAGTAATAGTAATAAGCTTATCTTATACTTATAGATAGTATACACTGAATCTGATATAATCATTCCGTGTCTTTCAATTTCATTGATATATCTATATTTAGTTTCTGGTACTTCACAACTGATAAGATTTTGCTATACGTCTATGTTGATTGCTTAAGCTTTGTAGGGCACATGAAGAGACGGTATTGTAATAATTGTATACTGGTATTTTGATTTTGTTCAATGAAGTCCACGGCATTAGCCCACTACTACTGGCACTAGACATGTAAATGTAAATATATAGGCTACCTTAATAAACATTTAGGAGAATGAGACCAAATCTCATTTAGTTTAGGCACTATATTTACCTCTCATCTTCAATGATTTTCGAAAACTTTCCTCCTTTTGACTTCGATTTTGACATGTTTGTTTACTTCTAGAAACTTGAATTTGCCAATTTGCCAGAAAAAAGGGCCCATTCTTAAAGAGTTATGCAAGGGGAACAACTCTAACAAGATTTGACATTATTGGCATGGAGTAAGACTACAAAATATAGAACCACTTCGCCAGTTACGCATATCTCGATTTTTATGCTGCTTTCGGGTTTACTGGAACTATACTCGGACATCTTGATCTAACAAGTAGGGGATGTCATTTCCCATTATGATTTAGAACTAATGAAGTTCTCCCGCTTAAGGGCAAATTACTAATCACGATGCACGAGACCGAATAGTTCAATGTATATTTCCTTAACTACGCCATGGTTCGCTCTATAAGTTAATAAATGATGAAGAAAAGGAAGGTTATATGCATTTTTGTGTCATATCTTTGTGGTGGGATTGTGTGTGGGGGGGGGGGCGGTAGAATGTTACGTGCGATTTTGATCATAAGGTCTGTGATTGAGTCAGATGTCGTGGTTTGATCCCCATTCTTGTACATAACAATTAGGTTGATTGTCTGGCATGAATTTTCTCCAGGTCTTCCTGGTTTCGTTCAATGCTTAAGACCCATACGCGCAAGCAAATTATTGAAATAAAGATAAAGATCGGGCCATTTGTTAGTCTGGAAATAATCTAGTTTGTGTGGAGTAGAACTAGGGGTTCAAACGAGAGGACCGAAAATATTCTGCACAAACCAGTCACTTTTATAGCAAAATAATAATTTCTAGAAATATTCTTTTTATATATTTCTTATTAGATCTATTGTCTCTCTTTTTCAAGTACAGAGATTGTAGTATACTATTTTATCTTTTGTTATTTTATTTTAGACATGGGGAAGAAGATTATAAAAGTTATGTAGATAGTCAATCCAAAGTTGACATTAGGACGTGCCTAAGGGTGAAGATAAGTGGTATACAATATAGGCAAATAAAGTCATAAGCCACCATAAAATCCGTTTATCGTCAGACCCTCTACAAATACTTTCATATCTTTACACTTAGCTACATGTTATTTGTAACCCGGTAGGGCATAAAATTTGAAGTAAATATAATCAAAATGTATGACTAATATTTACGTCTAAAAATTATGAATGATTATAATTTTGGATTTAGCTTTTTAACTGTTTAGCCTTTATGTTATTTAGTGGTATTCAGCACACGTTATTCTTGTTTTAATTATATTTATATATAATTGTTTTACAATAAAACAAATACGTTCATAGTTATAATATGTACTTTTGAGCAGAATTTGCGTCCTTCTTACCATGGGGTTTTGGCCATCTAATAATACCAGTTGTCCAATTGTATAACAGCAATGAACAAATTACAGTTATTTTCTAAATGTACTCATTATATATAGTTTATAAGAACAACACACAGTATACACAATTTTCACAGAAATTCGAACGCTAAATAATGTCAATACATTTAACATAATATTATATTAGTGACAGATCTGTAAGATATCAAAGTAGCACGTTTAAAGCGGTTAAAGTAATTAATTCCATTAAGAGTAATAGACTGCATTAATAGTAATTACATTCACAACAAAACACAACTAAAATCTCCCCTTCCCAGGGCAGATGGGCGGCTAACTGAAGCACCGTTCCTCTGATTTTTAAATGCTAACGGAAGGGGAATAATTACAATACACATTACACAACTTTATTGTGGATATGTATTTGTGGTAATGTTGATATTGGTTTGAGTTTGTTGAATCTGTCATGTTTATAATTTAGGCTTCTGTCTGTTGAGGACAATTTTGTTCTGGACCGTGGAGTGTTCCCTCTTGTCGGCCTTCTCCCAATGTTGGCTGTTTTTTCGACCCCTTTCGTCTGTTTTCCTAGAATTATTGCCAGACTTGATACCTTGCTTTTGTCGTGAACCTTTTTCATATGCGGAACCGAAACAGATGGGGGAATTGCTGACTTTCTAAACGATGGAGATTTTTGAGATGAAAGTACATCGTAAATTGTGTGTAAATCTCCAAATACATCTTTATATTCAGAACTTTTCGTTTTATCGAATTCACTGTGACGAAAACTACGTACTAAGTGACCGCGTTCGTATGATGTCAATTCGAGTAAAGATCTAGCTGCCATGCTACTCTTTCTGATTCCGATATCGCCGTCTTTTGGATGAAAGTCGAAGCTAGTGGTTACTATTGGTAACGATTGAACAGAGGATTTACTCACGGTACCAACATTTATCCCTGTCACTTGGGGAGATTTTGGGGTATCACCATTCTGTACGAATTTGAAATCTCCATTAATTTTGTCCTGAATCTGTTGGTACATTTGGCGTTGTCGATCGCCCCTTTGTCTTTCTCGCTTTCCGTAATGGGACCATTCTCTACAACTTCGGTATTTGGTCGTATCGAACTGAGCTGGGGATGCCTTCCCTATGTCTTGCAAAACATTGGCGATATCGCGAAATCCGAGACGTCTGGCAATGATGTACGGCGTGAATCCTTGATTGTCAGGAATATCAACAGAAACGTGATACCGCACGTATAAATTTACCAATGATGTCACTACTGAACAACAATTTACTTTGGTAGCGTGATGAAGCGCTGTATAACCATCGTTGTCTTTATCTTTTAGATCTAACTCAGCGCCAAAATCTCTCAAGAATACGTCAAGTTCTCTGTCGCATTTCAAAACACAAATCCAAGACAATACGCTTCTATTGTTCTTCTCATCCTTATAATGTACATCAGCGCCCTTCTTTAATAAATACTGGAAAATTCGTATTCTTTTAGAGCTATCTCTCACTCGAAGAGCAGCTATTAACACATTTTCTCCGAAATCATTTTTAGCATTAATATCCAGTTTTCGGCCCAACAGAGATTTAATGCTGCGAATTCGTCCGTGAAGAACATTCTGATATAAGGTATTGGCTGTAGAAATCCTAGGAGAACTGCTGTAAATTTCGTTCCAATCCATGACTGAGGCAACTAGATCTTTGAATGTATTCCTTAAAGCATATGATTTAACTATTAGAGCGGTTCAGGTCTTATACACTTATTGTCCACAAATACTTTACAAGTGTAAATGGCACACCTGTAAGATTACGCACATAAATACATAAATTAAGTTACATATTGTTATTATCTACTTTAAATGCTAGAGACATATTTTAAAATGTAGATAAAGTTCATGTCCTATAGTAACATAATAAGCAGATCTCCCTAGACAAATCCAATTGCCTATAGTGTCGGATATAAGGGGCAGTTAGTAGTGACGTATCTCCTTATCCAGACCGTCAAATAATTATAAACCTCCCGAGTTTATCTACTGGTATATCAGTTAATACACAAACATCACAATTGATATAGTCTTAATATCAATAATTATTGTAGATCCCGGCCACTCATTGATGTCTAACACGGTTTATGTAAAAACATTCACAACAACATTTTCTATAGAGTTGCCAGATAACTTTTATCCGCTATATCATTGTATCACCACGAAATCTGTATTGTCTTCTTAAATAATATTCTGATCAGGTGGGTGAATCGTCTTTGTACTTTGATCATTAGTTTCCCCATTTATTGTAGCGGAAAAATCAATCCACTGGTATCCAATATTGGTTGTGCAATTTTTAACCCACAATCGAAATCAGTACTATATACAGATAAATCGAAAGTATGGGTTGCCATAATCATATAACTATCGGCATTAAATTAGAAAGAACATTGTCCAAAATATCAATCGTTAGTGTATTTTTAATGTATATCGTTTATTAATGTATATCGTTTTTAGCAGACTACTGGTAATGTTCACGCACTCTAAGGGTAGAAATATATATGCAATAACCCCCAGTGTTAATATTGACCTTCTCTCTTGGCAAAATGTCTACCGTCCTATTGCCTACATGCCAAATTATAATACTAGTTTAAATAAGGTTCGAGCACAATAAGACATGTAACAACGATAGTATTATGCTGTCTATAAAATATACAGTAGTTGACCCATGCCTGGCGATTATTTGATATATTATACCTATCTAACATGTAAAGATCGAATGACGTATTCAAGCTGTGTATGGTTTTGGGATCATGAAGTTTTGATTAAATTTCAATCAAACCGTATTATTTTCCCGTATTCGATATATCAATGTATCAATGTGCTGTATTTCAGATAAACATTAAAGTCTCGATGCGCCATTGACATTTTCGCATTTCTCAGGGTTTAATTCACGCTAATATATAAAAGAAACAAAATCAAATGTCCCCACTTGAATTCAATTGGATTTTTTTTAAAAAGGTCTATCAATACATTTTCGCGGAAAACAAAGTAGCGGTGGGCTTATTGCAATGCTAGCAGCATAGATTGATGCAATTTTAATTCTACATATCTTTGTGAATACTGAAAGGAACTGAACCATTTTTGGAATGGTATATTCCTACTAGCGATTTTTCTTTCACAATATTGTAGTTTGCATGTGATTTTATAGTGACTCATCGGGGTTTTAATTAAATATTTAAGTAAATATTGTCTACGAAATACGCGATTTTGAGAATGTACTGGACTACTGGATAATGAACACAATCTACAGAAAGAATTGCATCTTATCATCGATCAGAAAGGGGAAATATTGGCTCATGGAGCTGTGATATGTCTAACATCGTATGAACATACATTAATTTTTCATTTTTTTAATATATATACATCGGATATCCCCCGTTACCATCACAGACAAATGACACAGGTATAAGTAAATATATCCAAGTTAATTAAGAATTTACTTTTTGACTTTTTAGGTAACGTAAACATTGTAGACAGACAGACTAGACTGGTGGACCGACGACTGTGGGTTGCGCAATGCACGACTAAATAGAAATAGTAAAAGTCATATCGTGAGTACTATGAGATCAATACTCGTGTGCACTTCATTTATTCATATAGAGTTGTTATAATGCACCAGAAAAAAGTCACCTTTGTGAACAAACTTCAATAATATGTACAAAATAGGCTATTTAAACTTATACAATATTTCAAAAAGAAAATAACAATGACATTCATGCTCATACATACAACTTATTTCTTATATACAAAACAAGTCAATTGAACAACTACTCGGTCTTTTAAAACATACAGAGATGGATTTATGTAACATCACTTACAAGCATTAAATTCGGGCCTAGCACTCACGTCACTTCCATATTACGAATTCATACATTTATTCAGATACCGGAGAGATCCGATCGCTCCGAACCGAATGATAAAAGTTTGAATTAGAATGTAGTACCATACGTAGCCAAATTTACGTCTCGATACGATCAACACGATTGCTACGACTGACCTCAGTATATGATAATCGATACGATTAATCCACGATTAAAATCGTAGCGCGAATCGAGATAGTGTGAAACTAGCATAACAGCAAGCATTTAATTTCAGTGTGAATATTAGTGACATAATTTAGTCCACCATAGGCCACCAGACCACAAAGTAATGATATAACACGAATCATTTGAATAACACTAAATAATAAGTGAAAGTGCCAAAAAATCCCATACATTCCATTTTGAATATTGATATATCCCATTTGGGTGAACCAATACGTATATTGGTATAGTTTCTGTTTGCGTTAGGCAGGTTAACCACATTTCTCATTTACATGTAGGTGGCCAACAATTTTGGTCGTACTTCCGTGTCCAACTCGCACATTGCGATTGCATTTCAACTAAAGTTATATCCCGTATTTATTAGCCCACTCGGTGCAGAAAAATAGGGCGTTAAACCCCATTCATTTCATTTCCTTAGATATTTGTTTGTTAACTGAGAAAGTCCTATATGTGCACTATTGTCATTGCCACTGCCGTCTTCTAATCTATTTGATCTTAAACAACACATCAGCTTCTTAAATGCTTTTCGAAAATCGTCATTGAGCAAAGCGTACACGATAAAGTTCATCCCACCACTGGACATACCAAAAATTCCAAAAAGGTCCAATAATGTGTCATTAATGCACACAAACGTTTTTAAAATTGAACAGGTTATCCATGGAAACCAACATAGAAAAAACACGGTGTTAATAATGAGAAATGTTTTGATCATTTTCATGTGGCTTATTATTGGGGTTTTTACAGCAACTGATGGGGATGCTACGAAAACCGTAGTGTTCATTCTACTCCTATGTCGAACAGCAACTCTGAGAATACTTATGTTTAAAAACAAACAGAGAGCCAGTGAAATATAAAAGGATAATCCAGTTCCATAAAAATAAAACTTTTTGGACACAACTCCATAAAAACAGCCTTTAAATTCATGTCTGGCGTTGAGAAAGAATGGAAATAAACCGAAGCAAGACGAAATCATCCATGAAACAGCGATTGATTTCTTGGCCGAAGCTGACGTAAAAAGTATCTCATATTTAAATGGATAACAAATGTACATAAATCTTTCAAAGGAAATAAGAACAACACACAACATGGATTCACAAATAGTAATATAAACAGAAACAAATACCGATGCACACACAAAATAATTTTCATCAAGATGTCGCCGAACGCCTGGTAAACGTAGAACGAATTCGTAAAACATCAAAATGCCTGTTAACATATCCGAGATCGCTAACGATATAACATACATATTCGCAATACTTCTAAGTCTTGCTGTTTTCAAAACCGCCAGAATAGTCAAGGCGTTAGCACAAGTCGTAAAAATGGATTGAAAGAACTCAATAGCTGCCGTCAGATTCCCGTCCAATCCACCAGCAACTATTTTGGAAACATTATCTCCATCTTTGCACGTATTGGGTCCGAAATATAAAATGTCGTTTATAGATGCGTTAGTTAAAACGTCAAATGTTCCATTGTTTTCCATTTCAATACAAAGATCTCATCCACCTCGATTATTTCTATATTTGATTACATCAAGAGAACCATCTTCTCCCAGGACATGTTTTCAGAAACTGTTTTCCACGATTCAAGCAATTGTCGCATTTCATTTACCATTACATTATAGCTTCTAAGTAACCTCAATGCATGTGACGAGGGCATTTATTTTTAATGAACTACGCAAACACTAAAAATGTGAATCTAATTAATGACATCAAATGATAACTTGTGTCAATAATTTATATGAAGCGTTATATTAATATATTTGTCAGTAAATTGATGTTTAATGGACAGGTTAATTGGTTGGTGTAGATATACATGATGATACATCAACCTATGATAACATGTTATTAGAATTGCTGCTATTGGTATTAAGCTTTCATCTACTAAACACTAAACAAGACAAATACTTTTTTGGAATGTTTATTTACTGTGATTTTAAAGCAATGTTGTCAGTCGAAAATATTATTTAATGCTTTCGAACTCAATTTCGCCATATGCAATGTCTTTCTTTAAATAATTTTTGTAATATGGGGAATTAGTTTAAAGTCACATTTCCATCCAATTTAAATGTTAGATACTCACAATATGACCCGTAACGCATATACAACACAAGAAATCCAGATATCTATCCAGAAAATGTTTGCATGAGAGAAAATTAGTCAAATTTGGTGGGGTTTTTTTTTTATCTTATTGAAGTAAAGAATAATAAACAAAATTAAACTATATGGTGTAAATGATTCATGCATTTTAATTTTTGTTTGTGTTTATTCAGTTAAGATTGCATTATTCCAATAGTTTCAAACGATTTGAAATTAAACAAACTTTCTTTTTGTCTGCAATATATTAAATAGACTATAATTAAGGTTGTAGCCCATTCCCTGTCATGGAATAATCCCATTGAACTATATAATGGACGATGTTACGCTTAGGACACATACCTAGTTGGAACAAATTGTTGTCTCTCGAGTGGAAGTAGTCCTGCCTAACACAATTTTATTTTAGTAATAAATAATTGGAACATCTTTCAATGAACAGTTTTGAAACATTTGTTTCAGAATTTATTTTTTTGGAGAATGAGAGAATTCACATAAAGAAAAGGTTATTCGGGACTGTAGCCCCTGATAATACCATTGTTGCGTTTTGTGATAGCCATAGAACGAAACAGTTAGTAAAGAGCAAGCTCAAGAAAGGCAAGTGTAAGTCGTCCACATCACTCTAAAGATCTGCTAGCGAAATGGTGCAATAGTTTGGAACTGGAATTCAAAAGATGATACTATACTAATGTTTAAGATAATTTGATCTGTATGGCATATATGTTACATATTGTATATAACGTTAAATGATGCTTTAATGTGTATATTTGTATCCTAGGAGGGGTAACAAAGGGTCATTCATACATATTTCTTTTAGTCGAATAAAATACTGTTTACTCTCGAACACAGAGAGATATCTTTCAGCTTTCAGTGCAAGCTATTTTCTATGATGTCCTCTATTATCATTCTGTTTGTGTAATACATCATTTATATATCAATTATACTCTGGCATACTTGTTTAGCGTAACATTGCCAATAGATTTATATTGGATATCAGTACAATTAACGACTTAAAGCTGACTCGAATGCGTGCGATTTGATTAAAATATATCTTCAAATCCTACTTGAAAAACCAAGGTATTATAATAATGGAAAATTTCTCAAGTGCAACACGTTGATTTACATCAATTACAACCTTTTATCCAATGACATGTAGGACAAAGTTGGTTCCAGTGACAATGTGCTACTTGTTTGCTCAATGAGGAAGGACAGTGTCGTTTACGCGAGACCTCTGGGTTTCGTCGTATCCAAACGACTAAGCGCCAAAGATATAGTTGGAAAATCGCGAGGAACGTTCTCCGACAATATGGGGATCCAACCTGGAGCATCTGGTTAGTGAACAAGTGCCGTACTCACAGAGCCATCGTGACTACCTAATGGCCTACTAA